GATGTTATAGCATATCAATTATTAAAACTATATGATTCCAACCATGGTGTCCATTTTCTTATAGTCAATTCGGAGATAAAATTATCTAAACAATTATCATAATCTTAGTCAAAATTCAATGTTAAAAAATACACACTCTTACTCGTGATCCAAATAACCATCAAATTATACCTTTGTCTCCCGCTCGAATAACCGATAGCTTTAGTATTACCACATGTTTCAACCAACACCTCCGATAGCAATAAATTGAACCACCAAAATTGCCAAATTCTATTGACGTATAATGCATTTAATCTTGTAATAGAATAATAGGATATTAGAATAACTGTGAAATTACCTGTGTAACAATTACTATCCTTAACGTTAGTATCCAAATGAACATGTTTTATACTAATTTTTCAATTCCGCATCTTTCTCGATGACTAGAAAGCGCGCTATCACCACGAGAGACAACACAATACTAACGACTTTTCTCAATTTAAACGTATGTAACGACATTCCTACCTCTCCCCACTTACTCAAATGATGTGTTCTTCCATTTTATTAGTGGCATGTAAATCTCTGGGAATTTCTCCGTGTCAGTTTGCCTGTTAAGACCATTTCTTTGTTTTTTGACATGAACCATTTCTGATGTCAATCTTTTGTACAATCCTGGTTCTCTATCCAAAATTTGAATATTATCCCAATCCAATTTATGATTTAATTTTGTCTGATGTTTAGAGACCGCCGAAGTTTTTTAGATGTCAGTGTAATTGTTAATAATAATACTCTTAAATTTAATATCTATAAAAAACCTACAAACTCGGGTCGATATCTAAATTTTGATTCTTGCCACCCAGATGTACACAAGAAAGGTGTAATCATTGGCCTTTTTGATAGAATACTTTTGTTATCACATCCGGAATATCAAGAAAAGAATATTGAAGCATTAAATAGGATCTTGTTAAATGGGTATCCTTTAGCCATCATTTTTTCCACTATTAATGATAGAGTCAAAAAATTATCAAAAAGAAAAAATCTTTACGAAAACGATCAATAGATGAAAATAGTACTGATGATAATAATTTGTTTAAGAAATACTTCACGGTTCCTTATGTAAGGAATATATCGGAAAAATTTAATAACATCGCAAATAAAATAGATCAAAAAGTTGCTTACAAGCATATGAATAATTTGAAATCTATAATCAGACTTGGTAAAGATCAATTAAATAGAATGAACAACGCAGGGGTTGTGTATAAAATTAACTGCAGTGATTGTAATTCTTCATATGTAGGGCAGACGAAAAGGAAATTGGGTACTCGTATAAAAGAACATGTATCAGACACAAAAAAGCAGAAAGATTCACATTCGGCGGTCCATAAACATCAGACAAAATTTAATCATAAATTGGATTGGGATAATATTCAAATTTTGGATAGAGAACCAGGATTGTACAAAAGATTGACATCAGAAATGGTTCATGTCAAAAAACAAAGAAATGGTCTTAACAGGCAAACTGACACGGAGAAATTCCCAGAGATTTACATGCCACTAATAAAATGGAAGAACACATCATTTGAGTAAGTGGGGAGAGGTAGGAATGTCGTTACATACGTTTAAATTGAGAAAAGTCGTTAGTATTGTGTTGTCTCTCGTGGTGATAGCGCGCTTTCTAGTCATCGAGAAAGATGCGGAATTGAAAAATTAGTATAAAACATGTTCATTTGGATACTAACGTTAAGGATAGTAATTGTTACACAGGTAATTTCACAGTTATACTAATATCCTATTATTCTATTACAAGATTAAATGCATTATATGTCAATAGAATTTGGCAATTTTGGTGGTTCACTTTATTGCTATCGGAGGTGTTGGTTGAAACATGTGGTAATACTAAAGCTATCGGTTATTCGAGCGGGAGACAAAGGTATAATTTGATGGTTATTTGGATCACGAGTAAGAGTGTGTATTTTTTAACATTGAATTTTGACTAAGATTATGATAATTGTTTAGATAATTTTATCTCCGAATTGACTATAAGAAAATGGACACCATGGTTGGAATCATATAGTTTTAATAATTGATATGCTATAACATCGTATATAATCAAAGTTTTTCATCTCTTGACGATCATGCTATCAATGGAATGTTACTTCAATTGTAGAAATCATAGCAGCTTTTATTGATTAACATAATAAATTTCATCGCAGAACAAAAATTGTATATGATAATTGTATTCTCTGTATAACGATTGAATTGGGTTTGTGATTAATAGGATTATGACATTGATAATGAGATCTGACGACAGATCGAAACGTTTGTCTTAGAATTTATGTAAACGAAAAGAATTAAAGTTTGTATTTTTCAACAAATTCACCAGGTGTACGTGGAATAAGCCATTTTGTTTTACAATTAATTGTTAATTACAATTAACACGTTATAATATTTGTTGCACCCAATTATTGTTTAATTTCTCACTTTTACAAAAACTTCTCTAACAATTTTATCTGCGCTATCGCGCTCATAACATTTATTACGTATTATGAGAAATCTTACGAGAAACGCGATCGCTCTTCTAGCACTCAAAGAGTCATGAATGTTTAAAACGAGTCAAACATATTTTAAAGCTTATTATTATGTTAATTATAAAATTGTTATTACCTTGTTCAATGATTTTGCTCTAGCTTCTTGAAATAGTCGGAGGAATAAGTTTGGATGCACCGTAATAGTGCTCGACACAAACTGTTTACTGTAATTCACTATCATCACTCAAATATTATTAAATATCTTTCAAGTGCATAGGTAAAGTCACACGTTTCCATGATGAGATTTTTCACTTATAAATTGTGTCACGTGTCAACATATTGACACACTTCGATTTCACTCACTTGGTAGAACGAGAAATTTATTAACCGATTTATCAGTTAATCACTAATAATCACTTACGATTAAAGAATTGGAAAGAGTAAGGGCACTAGGAGTCGGGCGCAGAAGACGTCGCGCAAATAATACACTTATAAAGAATGAAACTTCTTTATTCACTAAACGCGCTTACATGTTTCGACTCATTTTTGAACCTTCCTCAGAGCAAACACACATTAACATATATAAAGTAAAAATTGTCCTATCATGGTGAGCTCCCCTACATCGAGAATTTAAATGTCAGAATTAAATAAAAAGAAAGAAAAGAAAATGAAAAAGAAGGAAAATATTAAAAATGTCAAATTAAAGAATATAGAAACTAATTTATCGAAAAACTAACCGAAAATAGGGACGCTCACCACGATTACAAAGTACCGTATCGCAAACAATATTATGAATAATTCAAGAACCGGTTCCTGATATGTTGACCAGTCGGTATCAGACAGTGAGTCACTTTTTTAGTTATTAGCTAGAACTAATGAAAATTGTAAAATGATAAAAAAATTTCGTCAGAAGGACTTATTACTGTGTACGAGCGACACCGACTGACAAGACGTGACAACAACTCGAGCTTTTATAGTTTATCTATAATCGGGAGGTAGGCCTTCGGAAGCCCCTCCATATCCGTCTGTAGGTTGAGTCCATGCGTTTGTCTTCTGATGAATATCATCTCCGAAATCAATCTCTTCCTATAGTGAGGTTCCTCGTCCAATATTGCAACACTGTCCCAGTCAAAATCGTGTCCCTCTTGC